TTTTTAGGTGAACTAACCCTTTAATGACAATTTTCATTTTTGGGTGAACTTACCCTTTACGGAATCCTGGAAACACCTTCAATCAGTTACAGCATGCATTGGGCCAATTTCCTGTAATAACAGAAATGCAGATAAGAAAAGAAGAGTTCATTACAATTAATGGCATTTCTTGTTTGCCATTGTATAAAATAACAATTCCCACATTTGAGTATTTAAGTATTTTACATGACCATATGTATTTAAGCATGCCCATGGTGAACAGGCTTCTCTCATGCACTCTTGAATGTGCAATATAGAGCTAGGGCTACTGTAAGGTGAAAGGTAAGATGTTCACTAAAAATAAGATGAAAAAGTCACATGGATGCCATTGAATGTCATTGTTTACTCACCCTCATGTCATTCCAAACCCATAAGACTTTAGTTTCACATCAAAACACATAAAGATCTTTTGAATTAAATCTGACAGATTTCTGTCCCTCCACTGACAGTCCACGCAACTTGCACTTTGATGCTTTAAAATTCATAAAGCGATTGTAAAACTAATCCATACGAATAGAGCAGTTTAGTCCAAATTTTCTAAAGAGACTCAATTGCTTTATATGATGAACAAACTGAACTTGGTCTTTTATTCACAAATAAACACTGAACAAACAGACGCTTAACCATACTTGCTTGACGCATGAGAACAAACTTCACTGGTTCTTGTGGAAGCTCAAGCTTGATGTTTAACACAAAAATTAACCCAATTTTTTCCAAGTATTTTGTTTACCATATCTGATGTGTGTACTGATGAATGTTTATATGTGAATAAAAGCATAAATTAAATCTGTTCATCGTATAAAATGATCGAGTCTCTTCAGAAAATCTGGAGTAAGCTATTCGATTCATATTTGTTTTACAATCTTTTTATGAAATTTTTAAAGCATCAAAGTAGTAGTTGTGTGGACTGTCAATGGAGGAACAGAAATCTCTCATTTTTCATTAAAACATCTTCATTTGTGTTTTGAAGATGAATGAAAGTCTTAGGGGTTTGGAACGGAATAAGGGTGATGATGACGATTTTGATTTTGGGATGAACTAATAACCCTTTAACAATTAGCTGCCATTGTATAGACATCAGCAAAAGAGACTTACTGGTTGTCTTCTGGTCCTGCAAAGTCTTCACATGGGCATGAAATAGCATCCTCCCCAACAGTAGACACAGTCTTCACCTGCATATAAATGCAAAATACACATATGTAATGACAATATTACACCACAAGTCTCTATCATATTTAATGTGAATGACTTGTTTCTTTAGTGTAAAGCTCATGAAACATAAGTTAAATCTCAGATGTGTTTGTGTCGCAGACCACAGAAGACTATGTTAGTATCTATTCATTTTAATTTTAGTAGGAAAATTTAAATTTATTTACATTTAAATTTCACTCATTTTTGTACTGATACTTGCTTCACAGCTGAGGACGCAGACTTGTTGTATAAGTATGATCAATGTAACTTACTACTTACAAGAAAAGCTCAAAAAAGCTGTGCTATCCCTGAGACCAGCACTGACAGTTTCTCCATCATCTTCGTGATCTGAAAGTTAAAGACACATTTGCTGAGTTTCAGAGTTCTCTAATAAAATGAATGACATGTATATGACTTCGAGATAGGGCAGAATCAGGTAATCACATTCTTTTAAAAACAGAGACCGAAAGATAGGCAGCTCACACAGAACATTTCAATTTGTCTGTATTGTTCAACAGGTGCAATACACCACCATGGCGCTTCAGGGTAAGCATTCATTTGCAGAGACCGAAAGATAGGCAGATCACACAGAACATTTCAATTTGTCTGTATTGTTCAACAGGTGCAA